GGGAGAAGAAGTTACGGCATCATTATCACTACCCCCCCCCCCTCTCCTCCTCCTCTATTCCTGGAGTTGGCTAGATAGAGGTAACACGGAACATTTCTTTGATGTTACACGTGAGTACACCCCATGTCTCAGCAGTCGTCAGTGTATGGGCGGAAGTTTCTATGTGAGAGTTGATCTGATAAGACCAGGTAGTGTGTTCTATAGACAACGTTAAAAGTTAGCGCCATTAAGATTCTTGTATGCGTGTACTCCGCTTCCATGTTCACATAAACTTTCTCTAACCGAAATTTTATTTATTGGAAAAAAAAAAGAATAATGCATTTGCTGAATTTTAAATGAATTAAGGTTTCACTTTTACAGATTTTTAAAGTCAAATAAATCCACTACGATAAAAGACTAATATGGTGCATTTATTTCAAAGCTTTTAGCAAAAATGGTTTAATTCGTCCTAATTCCGTTACATTTATTTCAACTACCTTTGTAGTCTATAGAAACCCATTAGTCGATAATTATGGCTGAGGCTCACTAACGCTTATTAACCGATCCGTATTCAAGAACTGGTATTCATAGTAGTTCCACCGACTGAGTTTAATCGATTTAAGTATTGATTTCTCTGTGTTGACCCCTAGAGTGCAACTTACCAAGATGCTGGAAGTTTGCTTTCGCAGGCGTGGTGGAGAGGAAACTATTGACCCGTGTCCAATCCACACTTCCGGATTTAATAAGGTCGTAGAGTTTGAAAATCACATTTCCAGAAAAGAGGTCTCCATAGAGATTGTGCACCACAGTTCGTAGACCCATGGAATTAATCCAATTTCGGTAGGCTATAATCGATGGGAAAATAGAAAATTAGATCAACAAGACGCACATGGACTGGCGTATTAATGATCAGAGCAAATAGGTAGTCATGTCTGAGATCGTGTCCCCCTTTGAAGCAGAACTCATTAGAAAGTATTAATGTCTGAAAGCGAAAATGTACCATTTCAATTCTTTTTGCGCAAATAACTTGAACTCTTACGTATTTTTAACAGGTACAATTTAATTGTTCTTAATTTCAAAAAATGGCAAAAATGTCTTGTGTTCTCGCATTCTGAAGGTCATATTTTTTGCTCCCTTCTACAGCAATCCTCCCTCTTATCATCACTATTATCATTCCGGAGAGTTTTTGTCCGAGAAACATGGGGCTGAAAAGTTGGCTGCTTTCCGTAGGGTTTTTCTCACCCGAATAATTACTTACTTTTGTTTGTTTTACTTCTCACTCCCGCCTCCCTTCTGACCTCGCATAAGAAAAAGCTGCGTAGCAACTGCTACTGCATCGGCTATTATCATTTTTGCGGGTTTCAAGCTATCTGAATGGAGACATTCCACGATTAGAAGTCTGCTTTCCACCTCTCATGGAGGCGATCAGTAATTTTAGGTAATAAGGAGATCTTAAATGGATATGACATTTTAATTGGCTTGTATTGAGGTTTGGGAATTTTATATATTCCTTTCCTTCTTAGGCTCCTTAAATAACAGGTATTAAGATGAAAAGTATCCGATGTCTACTCGGGCCACTAAAAGTACTCCAGTGTCTAAAATAGCGCAACTTTTGGCATACATCCATAACGTTGTCTTTGATAATAAAAATATGTTAAGCCAAAGCCTTTTGAGCCTCTATAGACTATGCATCCACAAGATAGGAACCTAGAGGAGATAGTGGAATCCTAAATAGCCAATCATAATGTGACGATTACCGAAGGAC